AGACTGTGATGAGCACTGGATGATGTATGGGTTTACTGAATCACTATATTGTACACTTGAAACTAATAGAACACTGTATGTTGACTAGACTGGAATTAAAACTTAAAAAAATTGAACTACCCTCCAATCCAGTAATCATATTACTGGGTATTTACCCCCCAAATACAAAAACACTAATTCAAAGGGATACATGCACCCATATGTTTACTGTAGCATTATTCTCAATAGCCATATTATGGAAGCAGCCCAAGTGTCCATTGATTCATGAATGAATAAAGAAGATGTGGCATATATACATAAAATGGAATATTACTTAGACATCAAAAGGAATGAAATCTTGCCATCTGCAATGACATAGATGCAGCTAGAAAGTATGTCTAGTGAAATAAATCAGTCAGAGAAAGACAAATGCCATACGATTTCACTCATACGTGGAATTTAACAAACAAAACATAGGAGAGCAAAAGACAAACCAAGAACCATTCTTTTAACTACAGAGAACAAACTAGTGGTTACCAGAAGGGGGTGATAGGTGAAATAGGTAAGGAGGATTAAAGGAAGACTTACCATGATGAGCATTGAGTAATGTAGAGAATTGTTGAATCACTATACTGTACTCTTGAAACTAATATAACACTGTATGTTAACTCTACTGGAATTAAAATAAAAACTTAGTAAACCAAAAAAAAATTGTTTTTTTGAAAGTGGGCTCAAATATGGAGAACTATTGGTGTGTTATTCTTTAACAAAACATACCTAATGGTATAGCTTGAGGGAGAGTTTAGTTCTAATCTTACCTAATAATATCTGTTTAATAATGATAATAGACATTGCTATTCTCAAAGTGTATGCATTCCCAAAGTCTTAGAATTTCAAGAAAAGAATACTGTAGAAAGCATTTTTTACAACCAGAAAAGCATTTGTGGACCAATTTTTCAGTTTTTGTACTTGATGCTTTTTTGTTGTTGTTAAGATGAGTTAAACTTTCCTTCTCTACTGAATTACAGGCTAGTCTTATTTGCAGCATCTATAGTTCAAAAACCACAAAGTCCTGAGATTTTTTCACGTTAGGTTTATAAAAAATAGTCTCGTAACAGTGAAAGAATAGTTTTACTCTTCATTTCATAGTATATCTTCTCTGTATATTCACAGTATGGCTCTATTTTAGGATGCTAAAGGATAGTTTTTGCTCTATTACCATTAGGCTTTTTAGTGAAAGCAAAAACACAACCACTTTTAATGGTTGACATTGAAAACACATTTTTACCTGAGTTTTTATATTTTACTATCTTAAGGTTCATTATTAGCCTTATCAGTTCAAAAACACAAACACATCCCATACAAAACTGAGTTTCCAAAGGATAGCTAGAGCATTTTATGATAAACAGAATCCATCTGAATTACCAAAGCTATAAAGATGCATTTCCCAATTTGGCAAATGAATCAAGACTAGCACTGGTTTCAAATAACAACTGAGAAGTTATTGATGGAAATTGACATAATTCCACTCTGGAAAGTAGTCAAATGTCTAAAAGGAACACAGAGATCTCAAAAAAACAGGATGATATCTAGAAAAATGGTAGAAGAGGTGAACATAAAGATAAAAGCTGCTCTGAACTCCCAATATGATGAGGTTGCTTGATTAATTCAAGATTTAAAAAAGAGGTCTGAGAACTTCACCATCACTGGAATATAATTTTAAACTGAGGTAAAATTCTGGACATGTTGCTAGGAAGAAAACATGACACTTCTTTCAGGTTAAAAAGGACCATAGGCTTGAATCTAGAATACCATTAAGCGTTCACGTATATCCCGTAAGTTGTTAAATCACTAGTAAAATAGTGGTATATTGATAAGACACATGATAAAAGAGATAAGAGGTAAGATTACAGTCTGACCAGAGATTCAAAGTTCCATTAATACATTTTAGACCTTGATGTAGTAAAACATTAAAAATTACATGCAAAAATGTTAAATTCTGAGGACCAGGAAAGCCTCTCAACTTGTCTGAGAGGCAGGTCATTTCAGGGAAAGGGACTTCATTGCATGTTGGGTTGAGGAATGTTTAGAAAACCTTGTTCACCTACGTTGTCAATACCAAAATGTCTACCCCTCAGCTGCAGGGAGCTTATTTCTAGAAGGTACATTTAATCCTGTCCTCCATTAGCCAGAGTTTCTTTTTATTGATGGTACATGCCATTGTCTTGTCTTTTCAATAGAATAGTGATTCTCTTTGGGTGAGAAAATCTGAATCTCCAAGAATGTGGAAAAACAATCAGAAACAAGGATGATTTTGGATAAGTTGACTTTATGTCCACATAGTAAGACCTCTTGAAATCACTACGTAATTTTGTGTGTGATTTATTTAGAATGCTTAGAACAGTTAAAGGGATATTAATTTCAGCATTTATAAGTCAATTTATTAGATTACGGAAGATACCACAGGTTTAGAAAGATTATATTAGCCAGAATCACAAACTTGTTTCATTAGGGTGCTGCATTTGGGTGAATAAAATTTACTAGTTTTGTAATTATAATTTGTATGTCTAAAAAAGCTTCACTGATTAAATGTATAAATGGGGGATGGGGCGCCTGGGTGGCGCAGTCGGTTAAGCGTCCGACTTCAGTCAGGTCACGATCTCGCGGTCCGTGAGTTTGAGCCCCGTGTCAGGCTCTGGGCTGATGGCTCGGAGCCTGGAGCCTGTTTCCGATTCTGTGTCTCCCTCTCTCTCTGCCCCTCCCCCATTCATGCTCTGTCTCTCTCTGTCCCAAAAATAAATAAATGTTGAAAAAAAAATTAAAAAAAAATGTATAAATGGGGGAATTCTATCAAAGTTATAAAAACAAAATGAAAACATTTTTAAAAATTAGGATATTTATACATAAAATAAGATCTGTACATTGATTAAAAATAGGCTGAAAGAAAAAAAATACAGCTTAAGATAAAATAATAAAAATAAAACTTGAAACTAGGGTTAAGATTTATAACTTTGAGCACTATATACTAATGAAGCAAACATAATTATAATATTCTTTTCTATCATCAAAATCTTCCCTTGGGCAACAAAAGCCTACTGGTACTCAGAGCAACAGTAAAAGCAAATGTGTGCTGAGCACACATCTCATGGAAGACCTGTGTTAAGTACTATGAAGAAGGCTACAAGGTTCTGTCACAAGTTGCTCAGAGAACTAATAAGTCGGATACTAAAACACTATACCAAAAGCAAAATGTGAGAAATGACACAAACACATGGACTGTAGGATAGCTATTTTTCCGAAAAAAACCAAAACAAAACAAAACAAAAAACATTTTACAATTATAAATGATGGCATAGTGATGTTTCAGGTGGCTAAGGCTACCAGAAAGTAGATTTCTGGAAGTCTTTAAGGCACTGAAGAAGCATGATGCCGTTTCATAACAGCATAAGAACATGTGACAACCTCCTTATTCAAATTTTCTAACTATTTTACAAACCCTAGTTTCCAGAAATGCATTACTGTTCAAATATATTCTCACTGACTTGACCACGTCCCTATTTAGAGCTTTATTCAATACCATATATAGGTTCAGTTTTTTCCAAAAATTCATCCTTGAGTAGTTCATTTGAATCTAAAAGAACTATCTTTCTTTTGAAAGAAACCAGTATATGAAAAATGAAACCAGTATTAGAAAACACATTTCAAACTCTACTCAAATGCAAATCATACAACATATTGCTCTTTAGGTAACTATTTAGAATGAACATTTGGTACTTATCTGTTGGTTAATATTTCTGTGATTAGATGTAAGCAGGCAATGAAGATTTTATACTAATCACTTTCCTTGATTTGCAATAAAGAAATGCAAGAGTAAAAACCGGAAATAATTTTCCAAGTCTCTAACATTAGGAGTATCTTTTTTTTGAGAGAGACAGAGAGAGAGGTAGAGACAGAGGGAGAGAGAGAATCTTAAGCAGGCTCCACATTTAGCATGGTGCTCGACGTGAGACTCGATCTCACAACCCTGAGATCATGACCTGAGCCAAAATCAAGAGTCGGACACTTAACCAACTGAGCCACTCAGGCATCCCAGGGGTATTTTAAATCATGCTTTTTCTTTTGATAATTTCTGAAATTAATCACTAGGAAGCATTTCATTCATTTAAAGTAATAGGTTTTTTCATACACTTAATATTTATGATTTTCAAATGAATGCTTTCCCAGTTTTTATTTTTACTCCTTTCTCAGTTGCATTTTATTAGCAATTTAAAAATTAGCCTGTTTTAAAAATAAATTTAGACATCATGAGAGAAAGTCAATTGAGTTAAATAAAACTTGAAATTGCTTTAGAAGATGTATATATAACCTTAGAAATAAATATACAGACTAATTTTAAATGTCAAATAATCTGACTACATAAGGTACATATGAAAATATTCTAAAATAACCAAGGGTAAAAGGTGGAAAGAAGGTAGCAGATGATTAAGGAGGATTGAGAATGTTATGGAAAAACACATAAAATGTGTTTAATAAGAATGTTTTGCTACTAAGGACTCAGCAATTCTACATTGAGAAAACAGGTTTTCCTATATATCCCATGTGTTATGGACAATGTCTTATAACATCACACTCTTGGGTACAAAGTATTCATGTCTTCAGTCTTGTCAATGGCACAGAGAAACTAAAATAAAGAAGCCCTTACTGCCATTAAAAATATTTAAAAAAATCAACTAAATATCAATTGCTTCAAATCTCTTCCTGGGATAAAGCAAGGTACATACCTATAAGTAAATAAACACCAAATAAGTAAAACTAATTTTGGTTACTAAAACACCAGTAGTTTAATGCCTTTGACTTGAGAAACTTCTCTGAATGAAAGTTTTAAATTTGCTTCACCATCAGACTTATGATATGTTTCTATTATTTTCCCAGAATTAACTCTTAATATCACATAATACTTTTGTGATAAAAAAGAAAAAAAATCTATGATAAAATTTTAAATAAGTATTAAAGTGACTTACTTTCTTCTTTCTTGCTAATAATGGCAGGCAGGGTGTAAATCTGAAAAACAAAGGAAGTCTGATCAGTTAATGACCCAGCACAGAAACAGGGCGATATTGGTACAATGATACACAAAATGAGTATCTTGATTTCAAGATCTTACAACTAGTATGTCCATAGAGCCATTTCCTTACCCTATCAACCAACCTTGCTTCCCAAGCCTTTCCATCATGGCTATCCAGCCCTGGGCAAAGTTCTAGCGCTTTCCATTTGATTTATGTATCTCATTCTATTACCCAACATGATGCATAGTATGTATTCCTTCTTCAGGAAGGATTTCATGACAGATTTTACCAGATTGCTGCTTCCTCAAATTATCTCCTTAGCGTTTTGTTCTCAACATGTACAACCTTAACTGGTACTTGAGCTATCACATTGTCTTCTATATTTGCTTTAGGTCACGGCTTACCTCTCAACTATTAGTGGCAAAGAGTCAAGTCCTTTTGTTTTACTTTTTAATCTGTAATTGGCTGATACTTTTGTAAGTTATAATAAAATTAAAACATAATAAACACTATAAAGAATAGGCGCAGAGTCCAAAATTTTTATTATTAAACTCAATAGGTGTAAAATCACTACTTCTAATTGCTATAAAATTTTCCAGATGCTTAATCATACTTTCTGCACCCATTTTATTGTGGATTGGTAATAGTTTGAGGGATGGCCTCAAAGCCTAGGGTCCACACTTTATATAGTTCTGTTGTTGCACAGGTACTCTGCACCAAGGTTGTTCACAAATTATTTGCCAACTAAAGGATAGTTTTCAATGGATAGGGCAGGGCCTCCTATTTTCTCTGTGTGCTCATACCTCCAACCATCCAATGTGGTGTTCTTCATAAAGAAAACAGACAGTGATCGATGATTTATTCCTTTTTACATCAGCCTCCCTAATAATTTTAAGTAAATTATCATGGCCACATCAAAATAACTATTAAAACAGTGAAGATATGGACGGGAGGGAAAATGTCAAGCCACAAGGCAGTTTTACCAAATGAGACTTTTTTTTTAATATGAAATTTATTGTCAAATTGGTTTCTATACAACACCCAGCGCTCATCCCAGCAGGTGCCCTCCTCAGTATCCATCTCCCATCCCCCATCAACCCTCAGTTTGTTCTCAGTTTTTAAGAGTCTCTTATGTTTTGGCTCCCTCCCTCCCTAACCTTTTTTTTTTCCTTCCCCTCCCCCAAATGAGATTTTTAAACAATGATATAGACCACAGGATTAGTTCTTACCCTAAACCTTTGCTCATCACACTGATCATAAAGCCTAACACAGGCCTTGCAAAGAGTGAGGACTTTATTATTAACTGAATAAAATAATCAAATCAGTACAGCCAAGTTCATGGTAAGTAATTTGTTAAAAAGTAATTTTAGGATTTTAAATTAGTCCTGGAAGTTATCCTGAGAAACAAATTAGAAAGTTGGTGTTATGTACCAGTGAGACAATACCAGAAAAACAGTAAGAGTCTCTACGCCTCTGATTTGCTGTATTAATATTTTCAAATATACTACAGACAAAAAATCCAGATATACTTTGTAATTAGAACAATAAAATCTAAAAAAAAAAAAATTAACATTTATTTTTAACATTATTTATTTATTTATTTATTTGAGAAACAGAGCAGGAGCAGGGGAGGGGACAGAGAGAGAGGCAGACAAAGAATCCGAAGCAGTCTCTAGGCTCTGAGCTGTCAGCACAGAGCCCAACACAGGGCTCAAACCCATGAACCGTGAGCTAAGCTGAAGTCAGACACTTAATCAACTGAGCCACCCAGGTGCCCCTAGAACAATAAAATCAAAATTCTTACTGGTTCTTTCCCATCCATGGCTTCGAGCCAGAGTTTCCGATTAGCTTCTGAGAATGCCTGTAATGTGATGATTCCATGCCTATTAAAAACAAATGTTTTATATATTTAATTTATTCCTGTTATGTCTTCACCCATTTATTATTTTTTTGTGGTTTTAAAAGTAAAGGTAAAATTTTAAGAAAAAGCAGGAAAGAAAAAAATGAAAAGAGAGGAAAAAAAGAAAAGAGAAGAAAAAAAGAATTTAAAAAATGAAAAGAAAAAGACTTATGGTTCCTTTTAGAAAAATTACTATGAGGACACACACACACACACACACACACACATTTTTAATTCTAATGGTTGCAGGTAGTAAAATCACTGGTTTAGGTATGACTGCCTGAAGGAGGCTAGTTTCAAACTCTTTCCTCTGAAATGGCCAAAAAGCATTCACCAAAGTCCAGAACCACCTAAACATTCTCCAATATTAGAATGATTAAGATTATGACCCCAATGTGGTACAATCTAGTCACTAAAAATAATTTCAATGAGTATATAGTAATATGAAAAGTTTCATACCATACCTAGTTAATTATTAAGAAGACATTAAAACCAAAGTGTTTATCTATATCATGATCACAATATTAAAATTAATTCATTTAAAAACAATTTTTCCCATGTACCCATTCTGAAATAGTTACTTCAGGATACATACACACTTCAAGAGAGAAAGAGTAAGAAAAGGGAAGGAGGAAAGCAATATAAGACAGAAAAAGACAGGAAATCCAGAAATAGTAAAATTGATCTAGTTAACTGCAAATTATCCAGAAAATAAATTTGAACAGGAAATTAAAGGGCTCTGTGAAGAGATACACTGAGGAGGAAATTTCATTTAAATATTGTATGATTAAAAACCAGTATGACTTAAAACTGTGACGAAGGCATATTATGCCTTGTGTAAACAGGAAAATAGATCATTGGAATGACAGGAAAAAGAAAAATGTATGTGAAGATCGTGATCACTTGATCTTAGAAAATCTAAGCCACTATAAACAGAAATAATAAAATAATAATCAATATTCGTTGGCTGTTTATTATGTGCCAGGCACTATGTTGTAAATGTTACCTTTCTTATCTCATTTTATCCTCATAGGAACCCTTTGAGGTGACTACTTATTATCCTTATCCTTACAGATGAGCAAACTAAAGCAGAATTTAACAATGTGCCTCAGGGTTACAGAACCAAAAAGTGCTGCTGAAATAAAGAAAAATTACTAACATGTTTGTATTTGTGTACATAGAAAATACAGAAGTTCCTACCACAAACTATTAAAACCAATAAGGAGCTCAACAACTATGCTGGGTATAGATTGATATATTAAAAAGATTAATAGCCTTTCTATCCATGAGCCTCAAACATTAGGAAAAAAATATATACTAATGAATTCTATTCAAAATTGCAATAAAATGAAGAGACAAGAATAAATCTAAAAAAAATATGTAAAATATTCAAAAAGAGTTAAACTGTCCATCAATTAATTAACAACTTCAATGCTACTCCAAATCAAAAACCCCAAAGGATTTTTGTGGAGACAAAGGGAAACTTAATAAGCAGATTCATAAAATGCAAAACCACAGGGCCAAAATATTTAATACAATTAAAAAAAATTTTAACGTTTATTTATTTATTTATTTATTTATTTTTTAATTTTTTTTTCAACGTTTTTTATTTATTTTGGGGACAGAGAGAGACAGAGCATGAACGGGGGAGGGGCAGAGAGAGAGGGAGACACACAGAATCGGAAACAGGCTCCAGGCTCCGAGCCATCAGCCCAGAGCCTGACGCGGGGCTCGAACTCACGGACCGCGAGATCGTGACCTGGTTGAAGTCGGATGTTTAACCGACTGCGCCACCCAGGCGCCCCATAACGTTTATTTATTATTGAGAGACAGACACAGAGAGTAAGCAGGGGAGGGGCAGAGAGAGGCGGAGACCCAGAATCCAAAGCAGGCCCCAGGCTCCAAGCTGTCAGCACAGAGCCCGACGCGGCTCTCGAACTGACAAACTGAGATCCTGACCTGAGCTGAAGTCGGTTGCCCAACCAATTGAGCCACCCAGGCGCCACTATTTAAAGAAGCATAAAAAATGGGGGCCTTGCCCTACTGAGTAGTTATAAGCGACATATATGTAAACTATAGTTTATAAGAGTATATAGAGTAAGCATTTTAAATAGTGCATTCACACAAAGCTACAGTATTCAGAAAAGTATGGTAGTAATGCAGGGGAAGAGAAATAGATTGTGGAATAGAATAGAGAGAAAGAAGTATATCTGTCCATATTTAGTTTCTGTTCTTCTTGTATTGATACAAGGAAAAAAAAAGTAGAGCTAAATATCCCCATTAGATTATAAACTCACATGTGCAACATTTATGTCTCTCCCAATGTCCCAATGTCCAGAACGGTGCTCTGCCCAGAGGAGGCACTGAATTTCACTGGCTGAAGGAAACTAATGGCATTCCCAGCTGTCTTATTATTCCTTGGAAGCAAGGCTACCAGGCTTCAAAAGTCCACAAAAAGGCTTACCCAGGCATGGTGAACAATGTTGTCAGGATCATTCATAGTAAAGGGAACTCAAGTCCACCACAAATCCCTTAATGTAGTCATTTATGTTGATTTCCCAAATTCTTCTTTGAGTGATGTTGCTTTTTGCTAGCATTCTGTGTCTGATTTATTTATTGAATGCATCATGCAATATATATTTGTTGAATAAATACATAAAAGAATGAAATAAATATGCATACTGTTTTTAAAGACTGAAAAACAAGTACCTGTATACTGTTTCATACTTATATCTAAACACAGAAACAAATAATTTAGCATATTAAAAATATAAAGTAAAAATAAAACCTCAAACCTTTCAATAACTTCTATGTCAAAGCAGAATCGTTTGTCAATTGAATCTGTCTTCCGTCGGATACAAGATTTCAATTTAAACATTTCTGGTGAACCAGTAACGAGGCCATTCTGAAACAAGAAGAGGAACACATTATTGACGTGATGACAAGGGCAACTGAAAAATATAAAATATGCCATCTAAGGTTGCTTCCATTAAAATGTTAATTTTTAAAAAAAGTTAACTTAAAGGTTATATATAAAGGTCATAATCACATCCTGTCCTCTGAATACAGACTTTTTGCCTAATGTTAACTGCTCAATTATAATACAAACTGTTCTTTAATAAATTAATCACATATACTCATATTACTTAAATAATTTTGTGGCATGCCTGTCTAGTGGTCTTAAATACTTAAACTTATGTTAAATAGCTCTACAATGTACATTGTTTAGGACTTCAGATTTACAGAAGGTGTTATATCACAGTTACCTTAATGTCACAATTAGATATACAGAATGCTTGTCAGGATACAACACTGTTGCTCTGAATCAAATGCCCAAGGTTGCTAAGAGATTAGTATTGTTTATCTCTGTGTGTGTGTGGGAGGGGGCATACACGTGAGCAAGTATGTGTGCACGTGTGTGTGTGTGTGTGTGTGTATTAAAGTCTTATAGTATTAAATGATAATTGGTTCAAAGTCTCAGGAGAGCTACCAAAATAATACATTTCTAGTATTTGCTTGCTATAAATGTATGGCTTTCATACACAACACATGACTGCTCTGCTGATAACCAACTGCTATTCTACTAGTGAAACCACAACTGTTTGGATAAGATCCAACACAACCTGAAGCTGTAAGAATTCTCTTCTATATACCTGAGACACCAGTCACCTTAAGGGGAATGTTTACCTAATGTCTGGTTAATTCTACTATCTTTGGTTACAAAGATCATAGATTTATTTATTAGCAGAAGTTTGGCTTGGTCTACTTGTTAACAGCTCACTGACTGTCACATAAGCAGGCTTTCAGGCAACATCTTTTCTTATGAAACCTTTAAAGTACAAACTAGCATGATTACAGCACTTAACTTCTCTCATGATGGCAGGAATTGAAGGTTACTTTTGCTCTGGTATGTTCTCCTTTATATTGTCTCTCCATTTGAATTATTAGACTCTATTGAATGCCCAAGCACAATAAGTTTCAGCTGATGTATTTGAGTATATACCTAAGTTAGATCAACATTTACCTCTGCTATGATCTATACCACAAATTAGCCAGGTGAGTCACTTACCTCGATTTTCTAATCTTTCAAAATAAGGCTAGACTAAATAATCTTTAGGATAACTCTCAGCTCTAGGATTCTTAGATGATATGGCTTTAAATTATCTAATTCTTAAGTCCAGTCACTTGCCATATTCATACCATAACTCAAAAAGATTGTAACCTCTACACAATAAAAGTGCTGCACTCTGTAGCAGTAGCACTTCCTTATATAAAGTACACTTTGTTCTATATTGTTCACTAGCCATGCGAGACATTCAGTGACCAATTTACTTTTGGGGTAAATGGGCATCAATTGATTCTTCTGAGAAAGTCTGCTGGCCAGCATTTCAGTAAACAGCACACAGTTTAGAAGAGGAAGCAGCATGCAGGGGCAAAAGGCAGCCTCCCACAGAGGCCACCTGGAGGAAAGATGCAGAGTCCTTGAGCCTGGTCCAGCCACCAACAGTCTCTACTGGGCTGCCAGCTACAAACAACTCTGCTGCCAGGGATATGGGAGGACACCTCTGTGGTCTCCTGAAGGATCCCTACATTGAACTCCACTCTTATAAACATTCCATGAGGAGATAAAGGAAAATCCTGGCCACTCTTTCAAGTCATCAAGATCACTGAACTTTGAGAAGACTTTTTTTGACTTTTTGATTTTTAAAAATTGTTTACATGTTTATTAGAAAAGCAAGCAAATGTGATTTTTTTTTTGCTTTGTTTCCATTACTTAACTAATAAACTCAGTTTTTTTAAAAAAAAGAAAACTCACCATTTTCCCACTGGATTTCATTTCTGAAACACTCATTGTAAATGTTTTACTTCCCTTATCATATGTACAATAATGTTTAATCCATGTAAAACCAAGCGGCCCTGATGTAAGGAAACAAACATTACAGATTGTTAATAAATGATTTGTGTCTAAGTTTGTACAGTTTTTGAGGCTATGATACACAACTGAGTATCTCCATAGGCCATGAAAGTTTAGAATATTTACTGTGAGAAAGGCCAGTGTTGGGGAAGAGTGGTATGGGGTAAAGTGTCTTGGAATCAAACGTGGCTTTACTTGCAGCACTGATACTCCTTTGTAGCTCAAGAGTTACATTACCTCTGAATTTCAGTTATCTCAGTAAAAGTGACATATCTTACATTCCAAAGAGGTAGGAACAATGAGAAAGAGCCTGAGTTACTATAACTGATATCCTTACTTATATCCTTGTCCTTTACTCTCAAAACTGCCAGAAACTCCACTAAAACTTTAGCCAGGTCATTTCATCCACTTTGCTTATAACCCTCCAGTGGTTTCCCACTTCACTCCAGGTAAAAACCAAACAGCTGGGGTGCCCAGGTGGCTCAGCAGGTTAAGCATTCAACTTCAGCTCAGTCATGATCTCACAGTTTGTGAGTTCAAGCTTTGCGTCAGGCTCTGTGTTGACAGCTGAGAGCCTGGAGCCTGCTTGGGATTCTCTGTCTCCCTCTCTCTCTGCCCCTTCCCCGCTCATGCTCTGTCTCTCTCTCTCTGTCTTTCTCTCAAAAATAAACATTAAAAGTATGAATAGTTCAAAAAGGACTTAAAAAACAAAAGACGAAGAACCTATTACTATACACAATGGCCCTACATGTTCTGGCCCCTCATTACTGATCTGTCCTCGCATCTTAGTACCTTCTGCCTTATATACTCTGCTCTAGGTACACTGCCCCTCTCCCTTGCTGATTATTGAACAGAGAGAATGCATTTCTACCCCACGGCATTTGTACACCCTGTTCTTCTTCCAGCCTGAACTACTTTTCCTTCAGTTATCTGCATGGTTTGCATTGTTACTTTCTTTACATCTTTTCCTAAATGACACCTTTATAATACAGCCTTTCCTGCAGAGATATCTAACATCTCAACACTCTTACCTTGATATTTCTTATATCTCTCTAGCTTTATTTTCTTCTTGGCAGTTATCACTATCTGAAACATGATAAGTTTTATGAATTTATTCTATTTATTGTTTGTTTCTGCCACTAGACTATAAAGCTCTATACAGCAGGAACATGTGTTGTTCTGCTCACTAGTTAGTATATTCTTTTCTTTTTTCTTTCTTTTTTTTTTTTTTTGAGAGAGAGAGAGAGAGAGAGAGAGAGACAGAGACAGAGTGCACATGTGAGTGGGGGAGAGGGGCAAGGAGAGAGAGAGAGAGAGAGAGAGAGAGAGAGAGAGAGAGAGAGAGAGAATTCCAAGCAGACTCCACACTCAGCACCAAGCCTGATGCGGGGCTCGATCCCACAACCCCACAATAAAGAATCAGATGCTCAACCAACTGAGCCACCCAGGCGCCCCTTACTAGTATATTCTTAATCCTTAGAACAGGCCCAGACATTAGCTGTCTCTCAATAAATACTTGACAAATGAATGAAGGAATTAATCATTCATCTTTCTAAGACCTCATTGAACTTGGAGTTATTTCCTCTTACCACTAATCCGAAAAAAGTGAACTCCTTAAAGTAAAAATAACTTTTAAGTTTCATTTAAAAGAAAGCTATATATGTATAGTGCTCATTTTTACCCCTATAAATACTGTGCAACTCTTTCCCATAGCATACCACATTATTCTCCTATATTCTCCTTAAGGAATTAGATGCTGCTGCTTCACCAGGAATAGGGATGCACGGTGATTTAATTTTTCCATGACTAAGGTAGAAGACCTTCAGTTTTCCCACAGAGAAGCCAATTATCCTGTATTCAAAAGCCAGAGTGGGCTAATTGGGTTGAAAATGGAGTCCGTTTTCTCTACAACTTCTCCATCTAGGCTCCCATCCTGCTTAACACCTGGATCTTTCTAGCAACAATTATGTACAATATTATTGCTGGCTTAGTTTCATAACCATATATTTAAAAGTGAGAAATTGTAATGTAACAATGTACCACTTGATAAAAGTGTTTCATGAGCCATTTGAATTTTTTTTCTATAATAACAGTGCCCTTGGTGTCATATTTAGCTTTAAAATACTTAAACAACTCCAGAGTTAAAATTATAGGGTATAGCTATACACTTTTTTAATCATAAAGGATTATTGTAATAAACTTCAATTCTGTTTTAGGGCCATTTCACGCTACAATACTTAAGCATACTTGTTGATAATTCTGTTACATGCAGTATAAAATACTTAAAGGCTTAGAGCTGATTAGTAGAAGTGGCTGGATGAAAATACTTATAGTGACTTTATTACTTAAGAAGCAATTTATGAAGCAATATTAGCAATAATTTTTAAATAAAACTACTGTAATGCTCTGATGACATTTTATACCTAAATTGTTTTTTCCTGCCTCCATCTGAAGTATAGAACCTTGTGTATTTAATCTTCAAGTTTGTTGTACACACATGCTACTTCCTCTAAAGTTGCTTGGCACTAGGCCAGAACAGAGCAGATGTTCTTAGACAAGAAATTCTGAAGTCCTTTAAAAAAAGTGTGGGAAAATAAAAATTTATTTTATCTCTACTGTTGCAAAATAAAACAAGCTTAATTATCTTACCCACTAATCATCTGAGGTTGCTCAGATGATGTTTGTGGAATGAGAGGAAATAACATTCACTAAATACCTACCAAGCACCAACATTTTATCTAGAAACTTCTAAAGTCAGACATCATATAAGACTGATGCACACTACCTACTGCACTGAAGAGGCAGGTTAAGTCAGACATTATAAAGAGGATTTTACATATAAAAAATATAGCTTAGGAGCTGGAGATGGCGCTACTTTCTCCATCAATAGGGCATGTGATTGAATTGTTATTTTTAGCAGAATAATACTTCTCAATAGTTGTTTTAAGAATCTAATGAGATAAATCTAAATTGCACAAAATAGTAAATGTTCATGGTAAATATTATCCACCAATACTGATAATAGAGACATTTTATATATATTATCTCTATTCTTGCAACACCATTATTGGATGGGTATGAGTATTTTTCTTTTATAAATTAGAATACTGACCTCAGAAAATTGTTTGTTCAAGTATCATCTAGTTAACAGGTGGCAAGCATGGAATTTCAACATAGTTCTGACTTTGGAACCCATGCTCTTCCTGTTTAAAATGAAATCCATTAGAATGCAATTTAATGTATGCCCAGAAGTGGGTAATATAAAAACCACAGATCTAGATAAAGTGAGGTTCTGTGTTCAAACTGCAATGATCTCCTACTACTACCCCATCACATCCATCTCCATTTATCACTCAATTTACAGCTTTCATATTTATGATCACTGGTTTCTAATTGTATGAGTGTGTCTTATGCCTTCCACTACAGAATAAAGACCCTGAAGCCAAATTTTTTATCTCATCTTCTATTCCCCACAGAACTTATTCATTCAGTATACAGCAACAGTACAATCAATATGTGAACTGGTTTGATATTCTTATAAATGTTTTCAAATATACATAGTGGAAAGGGGCTATGGATATTTGTCCCCTGTATAAAAATAATTCCATGGGTGCCTGGGTGGTCAGTAGGTTAACTGTCTGACTCTTGACTTTGGCTCAGGTTATAATCTCATAGTTTGTGAATTAGAGCCCTGCGTCCAGCTCTGGGCTGACAGTTCGTAGCCTGTTTGGGATTGTCTCCCTCTCTCTCTGCCCCTCCCCCACTCGTGAGCATGCATGTGCACTCTCTCTTAAAATAAATTAAACAAAAATAATTCCAAAGGGATATAAATCCATTCATTTTTCTTTTAAAATCCCCAGGCAATGGGAAGTGAGGAGATGGTGAATACGAAAAGAAAGAAGGGAGGGATTATATTGGGGCATGAGAGCACTTTTGAAGTTGATGAATATGTTCATTGTTGTCAGTGGTCATAGTTTCACAGGTGCATATATATATATATATATATATATATATATGGCAAAACTTATCAAATTATACATTTTAAATATCTGCAATTCATTGTATGCCAACTGTACCTCACTAAAGCTGTAAAAACAATGCAGGTGGATATGGAGAACACCGAGAGGAAATTTTCTTAGGAGCAGGAAGGCAACATGAAAGGAGAGCATGCTAAAGAAAGAAAGTGAGAGAGTCCAAATGTGCAAGTCTCAAAGGCCACACACCACTAAGGGGCCATCACAGGATGAGCACAACAAGCTAGCATTGTAGAGGGGTGTGCTGGAAGTGCCACAGAGGATGGATTATAGACAGGCAAACCTAGCGGCAGAAAGAGAACAATTATGAGGCCACTGTAAGACTGTGGAGATGAGAAGGTGTGGGTTCAAAGGTTACCAAGGAGATAAAATGCAAAGAGTGGGCCCCAAGTTACAGGGAGACAATGGAGTTAAGGAGTTAAGTATTTATTTCCAGTTTCCAGCCTAAGAAGGTGGGTGATATCATTTAAAGAGATAGCATATTTCAGGGGAAACATCAATATCAAAAAGGGCTTTATAATCATCTAGGACTGACCCAGAGGGGAAGTCAAGTATCTTAAAACACAAGATACCAACATCAGATGGGTGCACAAAATACTGAATTTTGTCCACCGATGCAGTCTCCAAGTTACTCAAGGGCCTATGCTTATAGTCAGACTGAAATGTCCAACAAATGGAGAACAAGTAAACTACACCCTTGCCCAAGAGATGGACTAGCAAGTAGCAAATAAACATGATGTATTTGAAAATTAATGTACAAAATAATTTAGCTAGGTAATCCATCTTTCTTTTCTTAGAACAAAATACTGTGTACCCATAAGGATTTTAGCAACTGTGCAACACTGGGGAATAAAAACAAAAACGAAAAAAGTCAAGCCATAAAACATTATTGAATTGTAATGAATAAAAAAAAAATCTTTAAGCAAGAGGATGGCACCTCCTCTACTACACACGTTTGAACAAGCCTCTCTATCAATACATTTTTCTGCTCAGCAAAATATTTTATTGATGCAAAATGTAAGCTCAATGTACCCTCACACTGAGGTTTTCAAATCTGAAGAAGTTATTCAAAACAAGTATTCAAAAATTTCTTTAGTGTCCTGAGTTAAATCCATATACCTTGTATGTGACAAATGAATTATTTTTTTTTCATGAAATTATGGTGAAAGCAATGTATTATGGTCTAATTACAGAATAGCTAGGCAGGTCATTAGATTTATTTTGACATTCAAAGATAGCACACTGGTCAAAGTCGATCGTGATGAAAGAGAAAATCCTCAAATCCAGATCTCCTGAGCCAGCAGCACTCTATCATCTAACCCGTACAGTAACAGATATTTGCTGAGTTTGTTTGTTAGAACTAATCATTATTTGCTTGTACACTGCTATCCAACAAATGAGCATCACCTGAGTGAGAATGTCAAACATAAAGTGTGCTGGCATTTTAGTAATCATATTGCATTATGTCAAAAACTTTCACAGCCAACCCAGAATCTCCAGCTTTCCCATCTCAAACCTTTTAACTGTAACATCTTACTAACTAACCAAAACAACTTCATTAATCTATCATCTACTGATATGGAGACTTCAGAGTAGTGCTACTCTATGTAGTTTTTGAGTCTCAATATATGACAATAGTACAGAAAATAAAAATAAGCGTTTCAAAACTTGTACAGTGATTTGGCATTATTGCAAAATTCAAGCACATGACTTTGTGTTTTATGGACAGATCCATAATGGATTGGAAATAAAGACAACTGTTCCTTTACCACAAACAGTAGGAGATTGGTGCATTAGGGTATATCTGGTTTGAAACAGTTAATTTGGTCCAACTTGTTCCATTCAATGCAAGCACCATGCAGAAAGAGCCCTAGTTATACAAGTTTGGATGGGTTTTTATTAATTTTTGTGAGAAAAAGTTTCTTAGTGTGAGGCAATTATAATAATGTCCTGTTGTGTCTGATGCTTATTTCCTAACCTCAGGAAGTAAAGAGTGCCAATTTCACATTACATGATTGCCAATTTTACTCCTAAAAACTGATGGAGCACAATTAAATGAAATAATGCTGTGGGAAAATAAAAGTATTATAGTCACCAGGATGATTCATACTGATAAAGGCTTTGAATTTCAATTTTTCATCAAACTTTAAATTGAGATTAGCTATCACAATGAAACTCTAAAACTGAACTCATGTTACCGTACCATCAGTGAAGGTTGTAAGTTCCAAGTTCAATAATATGCCAACTTGGAGATCCTGATGGCGAAATGTGGAAAAACTTCCTCACTTTGATGGTGGTAGTGGGAGAGCAGACTAAATATGATAAAGCTGTAAGGAACTGTAGTCTCCCTATTTGAAGGAAAAAACACTAACCAAGTCAAATCTCACAGAAACAGAATGTTAATTATAAGAGACATTAAGTTACATCTTTGTGACTCACGTTTCTCCTGGACATAAAGATAGCCTTCCATTGTCCACTGGCTGGGTGGTCTGTAATCTTGGTTGGCAGATTTCATTCTTTGCATCAACCGCTCTACTTCTTGTCGAGTACTTTCAAAATTATTCCTTGTCTTTAAGTAAATAGAAACAACAATTTCATTCATTGTTTCCTACCAGTTTTGAGGAACTTCCAGCCTAAAGTTTCAAAACTACAAATGGTGCAAAGGATAACTCTGATTCTCTCAGCACTATACACCACATCGTTGATCGTACATGCTGAGTCCCATGGTCTGATTTTGAATTGTGTTAGTGAAACTTTCCTGAATAAGCTTCTGCATGTTTTTCGTTTTTTTTAATCTGTGTGTGTGGGGGGGGCATGTACTTTATTCCTATTTCCTACTCTAACAATATTCCTTAGGGTTCAAATCATAACATTTAAAAATATAATATTTATGAAATAGAGTTTTATATTCATTAATACCTAAGGTAAAAAAGCAGACTTATCTTGAAATAGTAATCATGAGGTCAGTGTATAAATTAACTCATAAAAACGAATGGGTTTCCATCGTGTGTATGTACACACACACACACACACACACACACACACACACATATATCACAACTTTATCTATTCATCCATCAATGGACATTTGGGCTCTTTCCATACTTGGCTAATGTTGATAGTGCTGCTATAAACATTGGGGTGCATGTGTCCCTTCGAAACAGCATACCTGTATCCCTTGGATACAGTAGTGCAATTGCCGGGTCTTGGATGTAAATTAAAAAGATCAATTAAATAAATTAAAAACAAAAAACAACAACAAAAAACGAATGGGTTTCCTAGTTGTAACATCTTCTATTACAAAAAATAGTTTACTCACATTACAGCAAGTTTACTTAAGGTAAGACATAGAAAGCTTAAAGCTTTTCTCTCTCTTTTGTATTCAGGCCACATTATTTCAATAATATGTTTGGAAGCAAACAATATGTTTGGAAATATAAAAATTATCACCACCCAACTCTAAAAGTTGTTATGGCCCATGATAAAATAATTGAATCCCAAAGTAAGTTAGGAAAATTTTCTTGTCACTTTTACTACTTTTTAAACTTTTTTTTTCAAATTCTTTTAAACATAAGGATCAGAAAAATTTCCAATTCTTTACATTCCTCTCTTGTTCTTGAATCGCAGGAATCTTAATAAAAATATTTTGGCCTTTATAATTTTCCCTTTTAGTATTTACGAAGAAGTCCAAATGCGTTCCATATTGAAAAACAATGAAATGGCTTGCATGTGAAACTGATTCTGCTAGAAAATCTAGATTAAAAAAAAAGCTAAAACCCAAAATATACATTAAATAAATCCAATTACCTATTTCTCATGGGACATTCCAACTCCATAGTTCCATTTATTGAACATCTCCACAATGGCAAGAATCAGATAAGCAGTGAAAGACAAGCTTTTTATAGAAAAAGAAGTGAAAACTTTCCAAACTATTTTGGCTATAGAGTACTAGATTATCAGGGTTTCAGAAATAAGTTCATTCATACAAAATTCTCAACAGTTAGAACTTTCTTGTCAGGTTCAATAATCCAATAATGGATTGGATACGTTTTTGTATTTTTTTTTAATGTAAGTGATGTTAATCATCTGCAAATCTGAATTTATATAACTATGAAACTGGACATTAAAAGGATTAGACAACTTACAAAATAAACTCTAACAAAAATATGATGTTTGTAAATAATTCTCAATTAAGCTTTAAAGCAATTATTATGAGTCCTTAAAAACCATATTCAATAATTATTATTATTCAAATTCAAATAAAAATATCATATTTGTTATATACAATTTGAGAGAGAAAAAGGACATTCCTTCAGTGCTTAAGTACAACCTCTTAATTTCACAAATATAGAAACGTTACCCTTTCAGAAAGTAAGACTTGCCAGAGGTCACTCAGTAAATCAATGAGAACACTGAATAAAGGCAAAAGTTTCCAACCTTCCAAGTATCTATTATGTATATCTCAGTAATATTTATTTCTATGAAACTTGCCAGCATAACTTTTTCTAACATATGATTAGCTCTTTCCTGGTATACTTTTAACCAGGAGCTAGAAAAAAAAATATTTTAATAAATTTATTAAGTGGCTTTTCTATATTAGGTAAATTTTTGACCTACTCCAAGGTTTGGCTGTATTATAATTAGTTTCCTTGTCATCATCTGATTCACTAAGGAGAGGCAGTAAAAATAGGTATAGTCTTACGTTCTGCAAGTTGAACTGAAGCTGTTGCTTATATGGTGCAAATTCTTGGGCGAGTTCGTATCCCTCGTGGTAAAAAGTAAATAAACCCTGCAAGAATGACAAAAGCTGCAAACAGAAAAATGAAAGAAACTATGAAAATATGTTTTAAAAAAAGATGACCACCAAACATAATAAATTGGGAAATTATATTTCATTCTAATTCCTCAACCTAATAAATTTTCAACTCCCTTTGTTTGGCAAGCAGACACTAGAGTTATGAATGTGAAACAAACCACAAAAACTAATTTTTACTTCATTTTTGGTAAACAGTGAGTGGGACAGTTGTTCTATTAACTATTCTACTATTCAAATGCATTGAAGAAATATCCAGGACAGACCATTAGGATAAAAGCCAAAGTGACATAGTTCCCACCTTAGAAGAGCTTCTAACCCAAACAGAGAGATAAACATGTGCAGATGTGAGGAAGACAAACCAGCGAATTAGAGATAAGGAGTACCCAAGGGAAGGAATAAGAATTTGGCCAGATAAAATTAAGAAAAATTTCTCAAGGTGGCAGTACTGATGTGGGTATTAAATAGACAACATTTCAGCAAGTAGTAAGAAGAACTGAAATCAGAGGGAAGAGTTGAGCAACAACCTGGAACTGGATACAGATCTTTCATTAAAGAATTAGAGTAAAATCCTCTTTAGGAAACCACAATGTCTATTATCCTAACCTTCCAATCCCAAACTCATATGTACTTATTTATTAGGGTCTAATTCATAAAGCAAGAGTGGTTCTCCATTACAGGACATGGTTGTTTACAGAGAGTAATTACAACTGAAACATTATTAACTTTCTTCATTTAATTCACTGGGATTTTTTATTACAAACTTCTCCACCAATTTGATCTCTTCCTACAATAAAGTTAGAAAATGCTTTTGAGAAATAATGTTTTTAAAAAATTTTTTAATGTTTATTTAATTTTGAGAGAGAGACAGAGTGTGAGTGGGGGAGGGGCAGAGAGAGAGGGAGACACAGAATCCGAAGCAGGCTCCTGGCTCTGAGTTGTCAGCACAGAGCCCGATGAGGGGCTCGAACCCATGAACTGTGATATTATGCCCTGAACTGAAGTCAGACACTTAACCAACTGAGCCACCCAAGCGCCCCATGTTTTTTTTTTTTTTTTTTTTTTTAATTCAAACAGCATATTATGTCGGTAAGCTACTATTTTGAACTAAAGAAGAAATACAGTTTGAAATTTTGATATGTGAATAAACACCCCAACATTTCCTATGTCTGGGGGCTAGGCATAAGCACCAAGTGGTATATGTGTTATAATTTCCAAGAATAACTACTGGTTCTATCTGAAAACAAGGACTTAATGCTTTCTTCCTATAGCAAGTCAACTTCTTACTAAGTTATGCTCATGTCAGAAAGCAAGTACTTTCAAATTGGTTTTAAGTTGTTATATTTTAAAGACTTCCTTTCTCTTGTTTAACAATTCCTGATGCCAAAATGTATTGTTTTCCAATTTTAGAATTATTTTACACTGTCAATTATATATCAACAGATAATTACTATCAAAACTAAATACTCAATAGATTATCCTTTGCTAAAATGATGTAGATATGCTGAAATATCCAATATATAGTGTGCACATACTGTGGCCTAATTAAAAAGAACTATATCTTAAAATAGGGTTAAGAATATCTTTAATTTTTTGAGATTTGATATACAGATTTGTAAGTTTTCAGAGACAAATAAGAAGTATACTTCTTTTGAAGTATATAGAAAACTAGTCTTTTAAATTTTAAATATATGAATAATAGTTTATGAAGTAGTTTGAAGGAGTATTATTTCATGTTTTAATGTCTACAATTGGTCTCCAATTAAACTATCTTATTAGCTACACGCCATACAAGGAAGATGCTATTCTAATATTATCCTAATTATACAGAATTTAATTAAACTTATAAAGACGATAAGAATACCTATAGTAAGTATTCCTATAAAACATCAAATTCCCCAAGATCTGTCTAAATAAATAAACCTATTGGCATCTTCTAGCAGAATTCAGAGATTTGCCCAGTAGCAGACAATACATGCTAAGCATCCCCTAGGGAAACAACAATGTGGAGGGAGGTACAAAAAAATTATCTACAAAGACCCACCCACCTTTTCCTTTTGTTCCACACCTACTTTGCAAGCATTTTTTGTGAAAGTTTAAAGACCACATGTATGAAATAACTGCCACTAGATGGCAGTAGAGTCAAACTTTTTAAGCTTGAATAACTACTAGTTTATTTTATTCTCAACAGGTTCCATGAGGCTAAATTAAGGTAACTTAATAGGACAGCCTAAAAAGCTTAAGAATTCCATTTCCTATATGCTGTTTTCTGTGTTCCATTGGACTGAGTGGGTGGAGCAGTGTGGGAAAGATAACTGTCTCAGCTTACCTTAAAGTAAACCTGAACTTTAAAATAATAATAACAACTAAAAACTACTGAAGAGATAGGTTTTCATATTAAATCATTTTTATCACCAGAAAAGCTTTACATAGCACTTTATTATTCCCAAGGATTTTAGAATCAAATAACTATTTGCGACTCCAATAACCTGAGCAAATATAAATGTTGACACTACATTTACAGATAATCATTTAGCAAAAATCACTGCAAGACAGCAAAGGAAAAACATTCATAATTCCCCATCCCATCAATCACCAGGTTTCAAGTCTTAAGGACCCACAGTTATCATTGATACTGTGAATGGAAAAGAAAAGTAAGAAAAGGGGCTGGGGCTAGCATGGGAGTGAGGAGAAGAGCCCTGAAGCAACTGATGCAGTAATTCCTGGACTGTTGCTCAAAATAAGAAGAACTGAGATGTAAAGACTCTTATAATGTGATCCATTCCTTACCTCCTAAGAAGTTGATCACTGAAAATCCTAGGGAATCCACTAACAAAACTACTAGAACTGATAAACAAGTTCAGCAACACTGCAGGATACAAGATCAATATATAATAATCAACTTTATTTCTATATACTTGGAATGAATAATCTGAAAATGAAATTAAAGAATCCCATTCATGATAGTTTCAAAAGAATAAAATACCAAAGAATAATTTTTAAGTATAAATTTATAACTTGAAAAGTATAAAACACTGTTTAAGGAATTAAAGACAGTTTAAATAAAAGGCAAATACTTCATGTTCATTAATCAGAAGTTTAATACTGTTAACATGGCAATACTCCCCAAATGATGTGTAGATTTAATGCAATCCCTATGAGAAGCCTAGCTGACTTCTTTATAATAAGAAGTGACAAGCTGATGCTACAATTCATATGGAATTGCAAGGAACCCAGACCATCAAAACAATCTTGAAAAAGAAGAACAAAGTATTTAGACTCACACTTCTCAATTTCAAAACTTAATGTGAAGCAATGGTAATCAATATAGTGTGATACTGGCACAAGTATAGACATTAAATCAATGAAAAAGAAGAGAATTTAGAAATAAGCCCACATATCAAGGTCAACTTATTTTCAACAAGGACAACAAGACCATTCAAGGGATAAAGAATAGTCTTTTCAGCAAATGTTTCTTGAACCACTGGATAACCATATGCAAAAGAATGAAGTTGGAACCTTACTTCACACCATTGACAAAAGTTAACTTGAGATGACTTAATTGTATGGTATGTGAATTACATCCCAATTAAGGCTACTTTAAAAAAATAAAATTTACTTCAGAATACTGAATTTACACAGAATACTATAATGCAGTGAAAGAAATCCAAATCTAATATAAAACCTCTACATTTGGTGACTGGAAACTATGATTGGCAACATAGGGCAAAGGCATCAATTTTCATCCAAGTATCCAGCCTGTGAATTATTAAACTTGTACTTTCTGCTATTCCTTATTCAGAGGAAACAGAGATAAATATCTTAGATGACAGTCTCAAAATAACCATTAAGTGCTTTAAGTTTAATACTTAGATATTCAGAGTAATTTATTGAATGGAAATGAAACAGTATAAAAATATAATCAAATAAACAACAGGTGCTGGTGAGGATTCAAAGAAAGGGGAACCCTTTTACACTGCTGGTGAGAATGTTAAACTGGTGCAGCCACTCTGGAAAATAGTATGGAGGTCTCTCAAAAAGTTAAAAATGGAGCTACCCTATAATCCTATTCACTATCTAACTGCTTTTGCAGTAAATTCTATTCACTATCTAACTGTTTTTGCAAATTGGAAATTTTCAGTAGCAGTAGCCAGAACTAAATCCAAGGACCAATACAGATTTTAAGATAGGTTGGCTTTATTGTTTCATTTTTATAGAATAACTGTATTTAGATTTTTAGCAAATTTAACCCTCAGGCCTACAAAGTTTTGAAAAAATAAATGACATCGTCTTATTTGTTCACTATAATTTACCCGAAGTTAAATTTTATATATTAAAGCTAATGTATATTGAAAACGCAAAAAGGTTTTACTTTCAAGACTGCAGGTCTATATATTATCTCACTTTAATTTAGTATGTAATATTTAGTAATTTAATTAATTTAATTATTCAAACTTTAGATAACCCAAGAAGTATTTTCTAGTATACTTCATGATATAAGAAGCATATTAAGCAGATTAAGTGAAATTTTCTTTAGCAAGAGATTTAAAATTAAAGTTAGGAGACTCAGGACAGAATATCAAAAACAGTATTTTTAGTTTACACATAATGGTTTATTTCTTGTCATTTTAAAAAATATTTGCTTATATTAGAAAGAGAGAGAGTGTGTGTGCCTAGTGGGGCAGGGGCAGAGAGAGAGGGAGACAAAGAATCTCAAGCAGGCTCCATACTATCAGCACAGAGCCAGACACAGGGCTCAAACTCACAAACTGTGAGATAATGACCTGAGCCTAAATCAAATGTCAGATGCCTAACCGACTGAGCCACCGAGGTGGCCCAATAATGGTTTATTTTCATTTTTCATATTTTAAATATAATACAAAAAGACTAAAATGAAGTCTAAAAAGAATAATAAAAACATACTCTTACAGCATTTAGATGTGTATTTTTAAAAAAGCATATTAAAATTTAAAAAATGTGCTTTTGAAAAAGTTCTATCTGGCCTTGAAGTCACACTAAAAAACTCGTTAATATTATTTTTGTATCTAATGCTAATAGTCAATGTGAAGGCTCCATACCAGCTGAAAACTTACTGATGCTAATGATGCACCAGGCACTTGCTCTGTATGTTACCTGCATTGGTTGCATCTTACCAAAATCCTGGAAACTACAATTTTTTATTTCCAATTTACAGATAAAAACCTAAGGTACACAGAGTGAAAAACAAGCCAGATTTATACAGCTGTTAAGACTGGAGCCAAATTCCATCTTATATATAATGGCCTCTCAGCCATTATACTTGTCTGTCAATTAATGAAAAGGGTGGGTCAACTGCAGCCAAGGGGAGGGGGCAACTTTTTAAAAAAGATGATTAAAAAAGGATGGAAGAATGAATAAATGCACAGTTATGTACATTGATTCAAGCACCTTTACCAAAGTAAAGATCAATCTCCTATTTTCAAGGAATTAAAATACTTGCTTTACAATACAATGTTTTGTAGTCATATATTTTATTTGGTCAGAGCAAGTGTTAAGGAATGACTAATTTTTGTAATCAGGTAACTTACAACACAGTAAGTTGATACTATACAGGACGTCAGCTTTGGGTTCTGGATTCCTGTGTCTCCCTCTCTTTAAGTTTGTGACCTCAGGCAACTAACAGTCTTTCTGTGACTTAATTTCCTCATCTGGAAAAATAACAACTACCTAATAATAAACCTATCTTGTGGGTCATGTGAAATAACACAGAGAAAACACATTACACATAGTAGTTGCCCATAAAACTTTAGTTCCAGCTAAGTTTGCAAAAGAATGTAATCAAAACATACACAAACTGCAGCTGAATGAACCATAAGGGAGTTAAGTCATAAAAAGATTCTTTGGGCTTCTGAGCCACAAACTTTCCTGTACCACAATGTATTTCAAATACACCAGGGCTCAACTCTCTGAGGTAAGCTGTTCATGATCAGCATACTTCAGAAGCTTTTCCCTCTAATCTCTCAAAATTCTCATAAGCTCCAAGCAACTCTGAGAAGAAGGAGGATCTTAAGAACAAGATTCAGGAGATGATGTTTTTCTCTCTCTGATCTTTTCCTCCCATACTAGACCTGAACTCACATATCATGCTGCCAAATCCGAAAGGACTTTTTTTAGCATTATTTCACAGAAACATAATGTGAATAAATGCAAACCAATGTGAAAATTTAAGTTTCCTAGTAGCCACATAAACAAAACAAAACAAAACAAAACAAATAACAAAAAACAAAAACACAAACTTGGGACACCTGGGTGGCTCAGTCAGTTAAGCATCCGACTTTGGCTCAGGTCATGATCTCACGGTTTGTGAGTTTGAGCCCCATGTCGGGCTCTGTGCTATCAGTTCAGAGCCTGGAGCTTGCTTCAGATTCTGTGTCTCCCTCTTTCTCTGTCTCTTCCCCACTTACACTCTGTCTCTCTCTGTCTCTCAAAAAAATGAATAAATGGTAAAAAATTTAAAAAAAAAACACAAACTTTCAAACCAAGTGAAATTTAATATGTTGTTTAACACAATTTATCCAATATATCATGTCAATATTTAAGCAATATAAAAGCTATTTTAATGAGATAGTTTATATACTTTTTTGTATCAAACCTTTGTAATCTAGTAGGTGTTTCCTATTTACAGCCCACCTTATTCTAGACTTTCATTTTGAATGTCTGATAGCCATATGTGGCTATTTGCTACCACACTAAATAGTGTTAACTACGCTACTACAATCACCTTCTATGTAAGAAATATAAATGGGGGGGAACCCCAGTTAACTATAATCACTTTCTATGTAAGATATATAAATGGGGGGGACCATTAAAATTATATATCTAATGAAAACTAAGTTTAAAAAGCTTATTTTCTGTATACTGTTAAAATAATTATATAGTTTAATAAAAAAACATAAATGCCCCCTGTTTTTCTATGTATTTGAACCAGCTTTTCCTTGAAATAATGACACTGTAGGAATATTTATTTATAACACAGTGGTGTCCCACTTAGCTGAGGTTTTGCTTTCTGTAGTTTAGTTACCCATAGTCAACTACAGTGGAAAAGCAGATAATCTCCCTTTTGACATTATTGTTATGTCTGTAGTAGCTTAACACTTGCACAGTGAAGGAAACAATCAACAAAACTAAAAGGCAACTTACGGAATAGGAGAAGATATTTGCAAATGACATGTCAGATACAGGGCTGGTATCCAAAATCTATAAAGAACTTAATCAAACTCAACACCCAAAAAATAAATAATCCAGTTAAGAAATGGGCAGAAGACTTGAATAGATCTTTCTCCAAAGAAGACATACAAATGGTTAAAAGATACATGAAAAACTTCTCAATATCACTCATCATCAGGGAAATATAAATCAAAACTGCAATGAGCTATCACCTCAAACCTGTAAGAATGGCTAAAATTAACAACACAAGAAATAACAGGTGTTGGTGAGGATTCAGAGAAAGGGGAGCCCTCTTACACTGTTGGTGGGTCTGCAAACGGTGCAACAACTCTGGAAAACAGCATGGAGGTTCCTCAAAAAGTTAAAAATAGAACCACCCTACAATCCAGCACTTGCACTACTAAGTATTTATCCAAAGGATATAAAAGTACTGACTCGAAGGGGCACATTCACCCCAATGTTTTATAGCATCACTATCAACAATAGCCAAACTATGGACAGAGCCCAAATGTCCATCGACTGATAAATGGATAAAGAAGATGTGGTGTGTGTGTGTGTGTGTGTGTGTGTGTGTGTGTGTGTGTGTATACATATACACACACACACACATATGTGTACATGTGTGTATGTATATGTGTATATATATATACATACATGCACACACATGTGGTAGTATATATATGCATATATCTGTATATACATATCCATATACAAACATATATATGTGTATATACACACACACACATATATAATGCAATATTATTCAGCCATCAAAAAGAATGAAATCTTGCCATTTACAACAACATGGATGGAACTAGAGTGTACTATGCTAGGTAAAATCAGTCAGAGAAAAACAAATACCATATGATTTCAGTCATATGCAGAATTTAAGAAAGAAAATAGATGAACATAGGGGAAGGGAAGGAAAAACAAAATAAGATAAAAGAGAGGAAGGCAAATAGTCTCTTAACTATCGAGAACAAATTGAGGGTTGCTGGAGGGGAGGTGGATAAAGAGATGGGCTAAATGAGAAGGGAATAGGAATTTTAAATATTTGTCATCTTCCCAAACTGGTGGTTGTTAGGCTGCCTAGATCTCAATGAGCCACAGATAAGCCTTAGAAGGTCCCTTAAGTCATATAAAATTTAATAAGATACCCAAAACATCTACTAAATAAGAGGTTACTAACTCATTCTAAGGGATTTAAGGACTTAGCTGTTTGAAAAAACAGAACTTGTAGTTAAGACTGTTATCCCAAATAAAAGGTAAAAATTAAATTCCTGAGCCTGTGTTGTGGTCTTCAGTTCCTTAAATTTGTCTGGCTGAAGGTTTAGTCTTACAAGCTTGCCAAGTGCCCAGTTTATAGGAACGAGTGAGGTAGTTTCAGCTGAAGAGAGAAAAATGAAACACAAGTGGCTGGGAGCCAGGCAGGGTCTAAGAATTTTTCCCAGGCTCTGCTCTGCCTCTGTTTCCCATCATCCTTAGGGAATCATTAATGGTTTCCCCACAAGAAATGAATTTCATCAAATATATTTTAAAATGTGTATTATTTTTCCTTTTCCTCACTATCTCCCCTTAAACAGGAACAGGTATTTTATTACTTAACTATAAACACATTTTTAAAAAACTGACATAGGAAGAAAAATATGGATTAAATAATCATTTAGATTACCTATGTATTTAACTATTGCTCCTCTCATGGGAATTGACATTATATATTAACTGAAGATCATCTTGACTTCTAGAACTTACCTTTACTCACCACATATGATGCTTTATGAAGACACCTACTCAGGCAATATTATAACATATTATGGTACAACTTGGGGGAAAAATGTTAAGAAAATGAAGTAAACTTATAAAGACCAGCTACCTGTTTTTTCCTGTAATGCAATTTATATTAAGGAATCCATTACTTTTTACATTACCTCATAGGAAAGTCAGGCAGATCCCAGACTTTCAAGGAAGTGGAATGAAACAAAGGGTGAAATATAACCTTATGTTTTTTCCTTTCACCTAAAGGTTTAGTAAATGGGTCGCTTTAGTGGTGAACTATATTTACTTAGGTATATATAATGTAAGTCCTTTTAATCTTTTAATTTTTCTATTAATAAAATATTTTAAGAGTAGTCAGGTTTATTTAAAAATTGAGTAGAGAAAATAAAGAGATTTCATATATTCCTTCAACCTCCACCCACACACCCTAATTATTATCATCTTGTATTAGTATGCTACATTTGTTACAATGATAACCAAATATTGATACGTTATTACTAACATCCATATTTTACATTAGGGTTTACCTTGTTCATTGTATATTCTGTAGGTTTTGACAAATGTATAATGACATGTATCCACTATTACAGTATCATATAGAATAGTTCCATTGCCCTAATAGTGCCCTGAACTCCACATATTTTCCCTCCTCTATTCCTCCCTTCCCTTTTGTTCTTTTTAAAAAAAAATCACAATTTTCAACAGAAAAACATTGCCATTTCTTTCCATGTGGTATGTTAGAACTACTGTTTTGTAGGGAAACTGAAACTTACCGGTTCAACAAATTCAAACTTCTTTTTTTCTTGAACCTCTTGAATTTTAAAGACATATTCTAATGATGCTTCATAAAAATTTTGATGCTCTCGGTCAATCAGTGTATCTGCCTAAGGAGTAAAAAAAGGCAAGTCATGACACAAAGTAATTATTGATGGCTCTATGTAGAAAAAGCCTCAAATCCTATTCTACTCCAATATCTCTATTAAAAGTTAAGTGCTACAAAAAGTTTTAATATAGCAATTCTATTATTATGTTTTGGGCATACAGGAACTAGGAAAACATAGTCCTTGCCCACCAAGTTTACAGGACATGGAGTATGAAGGGGCAGCAGGGAGTAAGTGTACCACATTCAGTACAAAAAATATGAAAAAGGCATCTAAATGTATATGAAAATCTATGGGATCATAGGAAAAGAAACTAGACTCAGGAAGAAAATGGTGGTATGAGTTGGGTCTTAAGATGAACAACTGGCAGTCAAAGATGAAAAAGTAAAGAGGCATGAAAGAGACTGACAGAGTTTGGCTGCAGAGTAAAAAGTGGAGGACAGGACGGTTAGTTAAGTAAGGTTGGCATCATACTTTAAAAAATCTTGGATGCTGCGTAACAAATTTTGGATTTTAACTGAGGGAGAATCATTTGAGAATATTCAGCAGAGTCATATCATTAGATAAACTCTTAGAAAGGGAATACACGTAGCAGAGGCAAAAAAAAAAAATTCAATGGTTCTAAAATAGTGAACGATGCTCCATCAATGATATGCACATTTATTATTTATAACTGCAATAAGGTTCTACTGATAAAGCGTGAGAAAGTGTTATTGAGATAATTTTTTTTTGATGTTGCCCTCCTCTATGCCCACTATCATCTTCTGATGTCCTCTTTAAAACTGACGTTGGTTTACTAGTATAAGCATGATTTTACTTTTCTTTTCCAGTTTTGCACTCCTACCTGCCAGCTGAGATTACTAAAAGCAGATGAAAAGAATGGGCTCTCTGGAGTACTAAGTATCCACCAACAATAATTTGGGAGCAGAAAATTGCTTTTTGGATCCATTTAACAATGCTAATTTCACATAAGGAAGCTTTAAAAGAGAGAAAATCAGGTTTGCTGGCTTGGGCATCATAGCATCTTAAAATTTCATTTGAAACACCTTTAATAATAATTATATTTATTTGCTATAAATCTATTTATATAAATAAAAAATAGCCCGATATTATTAGCAACTCATTTTAGGTATTTTTAAAGTTGAGAATTCCAAGTTCCCGAACTAATATATAAAAAGAACATATAAATCAGGTAGGAAATTTGGACCAGAAACTTCTCAGCTCCCAGAAGACTGTTTAGGTATCAGCATTTCATACAAATCATTATATTTTCTTATGACTGTTTCAAGCAACATGGTATTTACAGACTCAATGGTAAGGAGGTATATAGGTGGTGGTATGCTAATCAATGTTTAACAACTGGCTCTCTGGTGGGCATACCTGATTTGTAGTATTTGCTGGTTTCAATGGTGTAAATATTCCCCAAATAGCCAATTCCAAACCACAAACCCAGCATCACTGAATGTGAGAGTTGGAGAGAGATGGGAAAATCAGCTCTCCAAAGGAACGCTCCAGTACAGCACTGGATGTAAAGGATGTGAGAATAATTTCAGTCTCAGAGATAACATTCCATTCCACAAGTTACCTCTGAAGCTTTCATTTACTTTAAAAAATAATGACATTGCTTATATTGGCTAGCACATAAGAACAAACTATAGAGACTACTAGACACCTTTAGAGCTTAAGATGGCTATTTGTGGTCAACAAAGCTGTGAAGATGGCACAGTACTCCTGAATGTTCTCCACTGAAAGGCCTGTTTACAAGGCTAGTCCTTGCTGGTATCTGGGAAAATGGATTTCAGGAGGGTACCTACCACCCTAAATGGTAAGAGTAGCTCACTGTTCCTAAACTGTGCCAACAATATGATTTATTTTGAACACCTGCTTTCCTTCTGGGGGTCTGGAATTTAAGGATATGACACACAGAGAGTACCTATGTGAGGAGCCCCCAATTAAAACCATGGACACTCAGTCTGTGAGTTTCTTTCTAACAGACAACATTTTACACGTGTTGTCACAACTTATGGCTGGGGGAATTAAACATGCTCTGTCTCCACTGAAAGAGGACTCTTGTAAGTTTGTGCCTGCTTTCCCCCAGACTTCATTCTATGCATCTTTTGCTGATTTTTCATTATATCATCTTAGCAAATCACCAAACCTAGGGGTGGTCTTGGGGACCCCTGACCTAAGAGAATTGTCATTTACTCAGAAACTTATTTGCCATACACAATCCCATGTCATGAAAAGATGGGGGATGGGGGTGCAAGGAAGGATAAAAGAGAATAATGGCTCTTACCATTTGCCAGTAAGAGATGTTTTCCATCATCTCCAATCTAGACAACTATATTCAATATACAAAACCTGCTTTGAAAGGTCATCCAGATGGTACAGAGCTAAAGGAATACTGTACTTTATTACCTTTCCAGTACAAGATTTAGAAAGGCATTCTTTTACTTAAGGTGACTCCTTTTTGTACTTATGCTAATAGTGTGTGGTTCAGTAGAAGGCACTTTTGCTCATATATCCACCAGCAACTTTTGCTTGATATTTTGTACTGGATAAGAAGGATAAGAAGGATAAGAAGGATCTGAGATATTTCTTGCTTCTTGAGGTCAGCCTGTATTGCTATAAACTTCCCTCTTAGAACCACTGTTGCTGCATCCCAAAGGTTGTGAACTGTTATATTTTCATTTTCATTTGTTTCCATGTAATTTTGGAAATGAAATGAAATGAAAAGCATATGAAAGCATAACAAATGAAAGCATAACAGTCCAAAACCTTTGGGATGCAGCAAAGGCTGTCCTAAAAAGGAAGTTTATTGTAATACAGGCCTACCTCAAGAAGCAAGAAAGGTCTCAAATATACAACCTAACCTTACACATAAAGGAGCTAGGAAAGGAACAGCAAATAAGGCTTAAAGCCAGCAGATGGCAAATAATAAATACTAGAGCAGAAATAAACAATATACAAATAAAAAAAGTACAAAAAAAACCAATATACAAATAAAAAATATACAAATAAAAAAACAATATACAAATAAAAAAACAATATACAAATAAAAAAA